TGTGTGAGTGAACATGTGGGGGGGCTGAGATTGATGTGGAATATCGTCCTTGATTGTTCTTCAATTTTTTATTTATTAATATTTTATTTTATGTGTATGAGTGTTTTGCCTGCACATATGCCATGCTCGTGGAAGCCGGAAGAGGGCATCAGAGCCCCTGGAACTGGAGTTACAGATGGTTGTTAACTACCATATGGGTGTTGGGTACTGAACCTGGGCCTCTGGAAGAACAGCAAGTGCTCTTAACTGCTGAGCCATCTCTCAGCACCCACTTTATTTATTGAGGCAAGCTCTCTTGCTGAAACTGTAGCTTGCCAATTCCAACTAACTAGCCAGTTTGCCCAAGTATCCCGTTTCTGCCTCTCAATTGCTGGGATTACAAACAGTCACCACACCTGCCCAGCTTTCTGTGTAGGCCCTGGAGATCCAAACTCTGGTCCTCACATTTGGCATCCAGTGCTTTATCCACTAAGCTATCTCCTCAACCTAATCTTCCTAATTTGTTCTTCTTCACTGGAACTTAGCAGTAGTCTATCTGATTCCCCTGCATGTTTTTTGTTTGTTTTCCTCTTAAGAAAACAAGCTTTAGAATGGGCCTGGTGGCACACACTTTTCTTCCCAGCACTTGGGAGGCAGAGGCAGGTAGATCTCTGTAAATTCAATGCCACTCTGGTCCAGGACAGGCAAGATTACATAGTGAGACTTTGTATCAAAAGAAAGAAAAGAGAGAGAGAGAAAGAGGAGAAAAAGAAAAGAAGAAATGGGTCGGAGAGATGGCTCAGAGGCTTAGAGCACTGGCTGTTCTTGTACAGGACCTAGGTTCTGTTCCCAACACCCAACTGTCAGCTAGCAACCATCCAGAACTCCAGTTCTGGGAACTCTCATGTCCTTTCCTAACCTCTGTAGGCATTACACACATGGTGCACTTACATACATGCAGGCAAAATACTCACATACATAAAAATAAATTAATTTTGTTAAAAAAAAAAAAACCCTGTACTGGGTGTGGTGGCTCATGCCTATAAATCCTACACTTGAAATCCTGAGACTGTAGAACTTTGAACTTGAGGCCAGCCTGGGCTACACAGCAAGACTTTGTCTCAAATAGAAAGAAAAGATTAAAGGAGAAAAAAGAGAAACTTTACAACTTCTTGAGACCCTGAAAGCACAAAATCTACATGTCAATAATCCCTAGCAACTCTACCTGAGCTCAGTCCTTAACCAGTCTTCCAGGAATATGTGAGTAATGTTAAAATTATTGTGAAGACATGGTCCAGGCACATAAAGGTGGAGGAAGCCAGAGTTATATGAAGAAAAGCTGATGGGCTTCACTGGCTAGGTAGTAGACAATAAAAAAACAAGAAAGAAAAGATTATAATCATAAAAGATGAAAAACAGGCAAACATAAAGGACATGGGAGAAGAATTGTGGAAAGGCAGTTATTTTGCATTGTAGAAAAATTTTTAAAAAGTGGAAGACAGAAAAGAGTCCCAAGAATTACAGGATTTGCTGGCCATGGTGCTGCACGCCTTTAACCCCAGCAGAGGCAGGTAGATCTTGAGTTTGAGGCCAATCTGATCTACACATCAAGTTCCAAGCCAGCCAGGACTACACAGTGAGACCCTATCTCAATAAAAAAAAAAATAGAAGAAGAAAGGAGATTCAGAAAATGCCTATTGAATTCAAACTTAAATAAATTAGCAGTATCCCAGAATTTGATTTATAAGGATATTAAACTGATAAATAATAAAAGGGTTTCATATTGATCATATAATTTTTTATTTATATATATATGAGTGTATTGACTGTGTGTATATAAATGTACCAGTGTCATGTAATGCCTAGAGAGGTCACAAGAGGGTGATCAGATCCCCTGGAACTGAAGTCATGGACAGTTGTTAGCTGTCACGTGGGTGCTGAGATCTGAACATGGGTCCTCTGCATTTTCCTAGCTCCTGCAGTTCTCTCAGGAACATGATTTGGTGCTAGTATTCACAAATGATGGAGAACATACGCTATTTGTTTTCCTTAGTCTGTGTTACTTCACTTAGTATAACTGTTTCCAGTTCCGTCCATTTACCCGCAGATTTCATTATTTCATCTTTCTTTACCATAGGGCCAGGAAAATTCTGTATGTTGGGCTGCTTTAGACAAAAGGGAAGGCCAAGTAGCATCCAAGGGTGAGTATAAACTGTATTTTATGCTATGTCTTTGGTAGAATAGTTATACCTTTTTTTTGCTAGCACTAATTCAGTAATACTGAATTGGACATATTTCTATGATAGTTTATAAGCATCAGTTTTGATCAAAACTTCAACTTTGGTCAAAGCATAAGGTAGAAAACAGTATATTCATAATTGTCAGTCACTGTCTCTCTGGTTTTTCTCACAGATAATTTAGAAGATGAGACTGAAGATGATGATCTGTTTGAAACTGAATTTAGACAATATAAAAGAACATATTACATGACGAAGATGGGGGTTGATGTTGTATCTGAGTATGTTTTTGCCAATCATTTTAAAATAGAAAAAGTAGATTTTGAAGTTCCTCAGAAAACAACATGATTTTGACAAAGTAGTAGGAGTTCTTTTATTTCATGAATTATTATGGCTTTCATGATATTAATTCTAACATATTCTATGTCTGTGATAAAAATTGCTGAGTAGATGGGCTGGGGAGTTGATTTCGTGGGTAAAGCACTTATTGCACAACTGTGAAGACTCAAGTTTGGGCCCCTAGCAGCCATGTAAAGGCTGGGCAGGTGTGGCAGCCCACCTGTGATCCTAGGAAGTAAAGATAGGCTATCCCTGGAGCAAGATGGCTAGCTAGAATAGCCAGGTCAGTGATTTGTGAGTTCAGTAAGAGACCTTGCCTCGATGTATAAGGTGCAGAGCAATTGAAGAAGATACCTGACATCAATCTCTGGCCTCTGCACATGTGTACACACATGCACGCCCACACACATGTGAGCATACGTACCCACAATACACATGCTCACCACACACTCATAAAGAAGACTTTTAATAATATTTTTATTTATTCTGTGGGAATTTCCTACAGTGTATTTTGATCATATTTAGCCCCTTCCCCATTTCCCAAGACCCATCACTGCCTCCTCACCCACTCAACTTCATGTCTTTTTTCTTTATAAAAAATTAAGCCTGGCGTGGTTGTACACACATTTAATCCCAACACTCAGGAGGCAGAGGCAGGCAGATCTCTGTGAGTTCAAGGCCAGCCCTATCTCAAGAAGACAAAATAAATAAATAAATAAACAAACACCAGGTGTGGTGGCGTATGCCTTTATTCCCAGCCCTCAGGAGGCAAAGGCAGGTCAGCCCAGTCTACATTGTGATTTCCAGTTCAGCTGAGACTAGGAAGAACCTGTTCAAAAATAAAAAAATTTAAAAGGCTGGAAAAATGATGACTCAGTGGTTAAGACCACTGACTGCTTTTCCATAGTACTCAGGTTCGATTCCCAGCATCCATATGGCAGCTAACAACTATCTGTAACTCCAGTTCCAGGGAATCCACTGCCCTTTTCTGACCTCCACTGGCATTGCGTGACATGAGTGCACTTACATGCATGCAGGCAAAACACTCATACACATAAAATAAAATAATCCAAAAACAAATTAAAAAAGCATACCTACCAAGAAAACAAACTGCCTGAAATTGTCCCCTGACCTCCACACATATGCCATGCCATGCATGCACTCACAGGCATGTAAATAAATGTGTTGATTAAAATTTTAAATATGAAAATATAAGCATTCCTATCAGAAGTACAGTGATAAGGAATTTTGATGTTATTATTTTTGGCTTTAGACTATGACTTGTTTTGTTTTGGTGATTTGAAGATTTATTTTACCCAAACCTTAATAATGGCGTTTGGATTTTGAGAAACAAGATTAGAAGGGTATCTTGCTGAGAAGACACAGCACTTTTCAAAAGGTGCTTCAGCTGCTATAACCAGAATTCAGAGACCTTCCTGATTTACTCTTATCCCATCCCCACTATTTAAGAGAGTGATAATACAACTTTAGAGAAAGCTTCATTAGGCTGAATCTTCAAACTTTAAGGTAAAAGTATAACACATTGACTAGTTAAATATGCACAGCAGGTTTAACTATTTTAATAGTTGGCTTAGGAATACTGTAATGCAAGCCTTCCATCTGACAAATGGAATCTTAAAATATTTGGAGATTTTTCTGTTTATAATTTTTAGATATATATTTATATATGCACCGAAGACAGTGGTCAAGCTTTAAAAAAGATCATCATAATGAAAACATGCCTCTCTATTTTCAGTGACTTTCTGGCTGATCAGGCTGCATGCTATGTTCAGGCAATACAGTGGATCTTGCATTATTACTATCATGGAGTCCAGTCCTGGAGCTGGTAAAGACATATCATTTTATAATGGTTCCTTCTCTAGACTCTCATTTCTACATTGCTTTTCCTTTTATTTTTGCTTATGGTAATTTGTCATGTATTCATATATTCAAGTTTAAACAATACAGATAATTTCTTTTTTCATGAAAATACTATAAAAGACTTGGCAAAGAAGATGCATATATCTCTAGCAGATTACCCATGATGGCAGATCTTTATTAATCTGAGGATGTAAAATTCTCTAGCAAGATAAATCAAAATAGGCTAGGGATATAGCTATAGAGCATTTGTCTAGCATGCATGAAGCCCTAGGTTTAATCCCCAACACTGCAGAGAAGAGGAGAGAGAGAGAGAGAGAGAGAGAGAGAGAGAGAGAGAGAGAGAGAGAGAAAGGGGGAGAGAGAGTGACAAAATCCTTTCAAGGTTGAGGTATAGTTCCATTATAGAGTACTTCTAACATGGATGAGGCCTGGGAGTTCATCCCTAGCACTAGAAGGTAATTAATAATTAATGAATCAAGTATGGCATTGGGGCTGGATGATAGTTGTGGGAGTGTTCGTAATAGTCTTTACATCTTTGTGTGTTGAAAACAATTCTTTTCAACAGGAGTAATTTCTGAAGAATGAGCTATTTATATGTTAGAATGGAAGAGAAGGGTATTGTTTGTATTACTGAAAAGTCATAATTCACCATTTCTATAAGTGTTCCCTGTGTTAGTCAGATTTTGTCTAAATTCCTGATAGAACAAGTTAAAGGAAGAAAGATTCATTTTGGCTTATGTCTCAACCCAGCCAGCTCCATTCTCTCTAGCCATGGTGAAACAAAGCACCATGGCAAGGTAGACATGGAGGAACAAAATTGATCAACTCATTATAGCCAGGAAGTATAAAGATAGAGAAAAGCCTTGGACAGGATACAGCTCCCAAGGACATGCCCCAGTAGTCAAAATCCTCCAACTAGGTCCCACCTCCTAAAGTTTCTCGAATCTCCTAAAACAGCATCACCAGGTGGGGAATGAGGCTTCTAATACATGAGCATGGGGGCTGGGGCACTTCATATCTAAACATAATACTTTCTGTTCTAGCAGATTCCATTTACAATTCTTACTTGTTCATTAAAATAGAAACATAACAGCCAGGTATGACTTGTAATCCCACCACTTGGGAGGCTGAAGCAGGAAGATCACCACATGTTCAAGACCTTACCTCAAAACAAAGAAAAAGAAAAGGAGGAAGAAAAATAACAAACTAAAAATAGTACAGCAGATAGTATTAAGTGATGAGAGCTGTGTTTTGTTTTGTTTTCAAAGCACTTCTGATACCCTTTTTCAGAGCACCGTAGACAAATACAAAACAATGTAAAATAATGGGACATTAAGTGTGAATTCACTTACTAGCCAACTTTGAAAAGAAATTTTTGTAGAGGTTAACATTCTCAGGGCAGGATGTCTCTGGGAAGCAGTTTAATTTTGTTGTTGGTTTTTTAAAACATTTTTAAAATGTTTTGTGTAAGAGTGCTATGCCTATACATATATAAGTGCACCTGTGTTGTGCAGTGCCCTCAGAGACAGAAGAGGGCATTGGATCTCCTGGAACTGGAGTTATGGATGGTTGTTAACTGCCTTGTGGGTACTCAAACCTGGGTCTTCTGTAAGAACAGCCAATGTTATTAACTACAGCCCCAAACAGTTTAGCTTTTTTTTGTTTTGTTTTGTTTTTTGTTTTTTGTTTTTCTGAGACAGGGTCTCCTTTTAGCCCCAGCTGTCCTGGAACTCACTATGTAGACCAGGCTGGCCTCAAACTCACAAAGATTTGCCTGCCTCTGCCTCCCAAGTGCTGGGATGAAAGGCATGCTATATTATTATTTTATGGATATGAGTGTATTGCTTACATGTGTGTAAGTGCTTCCATGTCATGCAATGTTCACAGAGGTCAGAAGGGGGCTGGATTCCCCTGGAACTGGAATTAAAGACAGTTATTACCTGCCACATGGGTGCTGGGAATCGAATCCAAGTCCTCTGCAAGAGCAGCCAGTGCTCTTAACCGCTGAGCCATCTCTCTAGCCCTGAGTTTTAAAGATCTTTAATTTGCTACTTTTAAAGATTAAATGCTAGTTAATCCTGTTTTATTACCAAGCAATAAAGCCAGGCTTCAAAACTTTGATTTCATATAATCAAAGTAAACAGTTTTTCTCCGTGTTACAGAGGAAGAAATTAAGGCTTAGACAGCTTGAGTAATCTTCCCAAGATTGTACAGAAAAATCAAGTCCAACTCTATCTGTTTAAAATACATTTTACATTATTTTGCATGACATTCTCCCTTCTAAACTCACCATCCATTTGAGCTATATGCCATAAAAGTCTCTTGGACCAGGGAGATGGCTCAGCAGGTAAAGCCACTTACCACCAAGTCTTACAGCCTGCACTCGGTCCCCGAGATCCACGTGGTGGAAGGAGAGAACAGACTCCCATAAGTTGTCCTCTGACCTCTACATGTGTATGGTGGCACATGTGTATCCACACATTAAGTTAATTAATTAATTAATCTTAATTTTAAAAATGTCCTCCTCCTGTCCCTCCCTTTTGAGTCCTCTGTCTCCCTGTAGTCAGTGAATCAAATACCTAGAGCATTTTGGAATATTTTAAATTGTATGTTCAAGCTTTATGTTTTAAATGTCTATAGTTAAAGATAGGAGGGTATTATAAGCAAAATATGTGTGATTGATATGTGGTTTAATTTTTATTATTAATACATTAATATGTACACTAATTCAAAGATAAAAATTCTTAGAGTTGGCTGGTAAGGTCTTTCCCTTCTCTCTTTCTTTATGAATTGGAGCTTTTATCAGAATATTTAGCTGTTCTCAGCTCTTTGCGTAGAGGTTCCCAGCTCAAGTAACTAGACTGAAATTTCCTAACTACCTTGTTACCATCCATTTTGGCAGATTCATGATCTGTATTTGAGAATTCAAAAGAAGGATTGTGACGTCAGGCATGGTAACCCTGGGGAGACAGTCAGTAGGGTTTTGATTTTGAGGCCAGCCAGAGCTACCTAGGTGAAATCCTGTCTCTAAGCCACAAACCGCAAAAAAAAAAAAAACCCACAACAAAAATTAAGAAAATATGACATTTGTTGCTGTCACATAAGCTAAACTTCTCAGCAGTACTAATTTCTTATATTCTAGGGGTAGAATTATGGGTGATTTTTAAATTCCTTCCATGTATTAATAAAATAAATATAGAAAATATGCTTAATATTGACCTTTTTATATGAAGTTTTTGGTTTTTAAAACTCATTTTGTTTCATAGGTATTATCCCTACCATTATGCGCCTTTCCTATCTGACATCCGCAACATCAGTATGCTGCAAGTCCATTTTGAGCTAGGAAAACCTTTCAAGCCATTCGAGCAGCTTCTTGCTGTGCTTCCCTCAGCTAGCAAACACTTGCTTCCTGCATGCTACCAGGTAGGCTTGGGATCTTCTTATTTCATTTTGATATTTAAGAGTTTTTCATACAAACCAGCCAAATATATTTAGTAGACAAATACATTTATTTTCCGTTTTAAATATAACATTTTTAGCAAGTTCTTGACAAGTAATTTCTTCATTTTTAGTTGCCTTTTTTTAAAATGCAAACTCTATAAACTATTGAGAGCCTAGCTTTTTCAGTTTTAGCACCTTTAACACATCTTTATTTCTACACTGAAGAAAATAACCTAAAACAGATAAAATCAGAAGCCATCTTTAATGTCTACATATTTGTAGATGAATTTGTGTTCTCATTAACCCTCTACCTGGTAGAATAAGAGCAATTCTAATGAGTCATCCTAACACTAGTATCACCTCAGTATATATTTAGATTTTAAACATTCCATTTATCAAATTGAAAGACTTTTCTCTTACTAACATACTTCATATAGCAACAGGAGGACAGGGTCATCAGAATCACACTAAGTAGATTATAAAAGTAAACTTCATTTAATTCTTCAGGGATCTGTGTCTGTTCTAACTCCATGGTCTAGCCCCAGGAATTGGAGTAGATGGCATACATAAAACCCATTGCTCCTTTGACATGGTCAGGCTCCCTTCTGCATTTTTCTTAACCTCAGCTTGCTTGATCTGACCTCGGCCTCTGTTTCTTACATTTCTTTGGTATCTTTTTTTCTTTAGATACATTAAACTTTGATATTGCAGCCTTGTCGGCCCATAAGTATATTATAATAACTGTTGTTTTATTTGCTCAGTGCTCATGCAATACTCAGTAAATTTTAGAGTACCATGTTAGAAATATACTGCTCTCTTTTTTATTTTAAAGTCTTTCCCTTTCTGTATCTTTATGCTTTTTTTTGCTTAGGACAGCCATATTTTCTTTGCTTTTTTTTTGGAGGGGAGGGTTCTTTTTGAGACAGGGTCTCCCTGTAGCCCTAGCTGTCATGGAACTCACTACGTAGACCAGGCTGGCCTTGAACTCAGAGAGATCCGCCTGCCTCTGCCTCCCGAGTGCTGGGATTAAAGGTGTGCACCACCACGCCCGGCCTTTGTCTGCTTCTTTTATAAAATCTAATAAAAATCTGTTTTTGGATTCTGATGTTAGTGGATTGTGAAGCTTGAATTTTATTTTATTTTATTTTTTTTTAAATTATCTTTGATAACAGTAGACATTACTAGAAGCAATTGATTAGGACATGGAAGTAAAGTATTAACTTGAGGTTGAAATGGAGGACTTTTAGAAACTTGTGGAATGAATTGAAATGAAGTCTGAATAAGAAAACAGTATTTAGAAGATAGATCTTATAGAATGAAAAGACAATAGAAAAATAAAAATGGGGCTGGCAAAATGACTCAGTGAGTAAAGGCACTTGCTGCCATGTCTAATGACCTGAGTTTGATCGCCAGAACCCATGCAGTTCAAGGAGAGAACCAGCTCCCCCAAGTTGCCTCTGACTTCCATGTCCACACCATGATGCATGTCACACTCACACACTCAAATAGCTAGGTGTGGTAGTACAGGCCTATAATTCTAACACTCAGGAGGCTGAACTAGGAGGATGAGTTCAAGGCCAGCCTAGGCTACCTAGACTCTGTCTCAGGTAACAAAGCAAGTTCATAATAAAGATAGTCTTGCTACATACCAAAGTTAGTGGAACAGGAAAAAAATGAATAACAGTATAATTGAAATTTTTACTGTTTGCTGAGCATGGTGACACAGGCTTATAAAGCCAGCACTTTGGAGCCTGAGACCAGGTGGCTCTTAAGTTCAAGACCAGACTTGGTTGTATAGTGAGATGCTGGCTGAGAAAAAAGAAAACAAAAAGAGTTCTTGTAGTTGAAAATTAAAATGTACCAAGTACTTTTTTTGCAACATTTGAGAAAATGTTAAAAGTATATTAGTGGAAATTTATGTTGATACTCTTTTTTTTTTTTTTTTTTTTTTTTTTTTTTGTCTTTGAGACAGGGTCTCCCTATAGCCCCAGCTATCCTGGAACTCATTATGTAGACCAGGCTGGCCTTGAACTCACAGAGATCCACCTGCATCTGCCTCCTGAGTATTGGGATTAAAGGTGTGCTCCACCATGCCTGGCGATACTAACTCTTACATATCAATTTTATTTTACTGTTTATATTTTCACAGCATTTGATGACCAGTGAAGACTCACCAATCATTGAATATTATCCACCTGATTTTAAAACTGATCTAAATGGAAAACAACAGGAGTGGGAAGCTGTGGTACTAATACCTTTTATTGACGAGGTCAGTGAATAAAATAATTACATAGAGACTTATATTTGTTTTTGTTTGGTTGTTTTGGGGTGTGTCTGTGTGTGTGTGTGTGTGTGTCTGTGTGTGTGTGTGTGTGTGTGTGTGTGTGTGGGTGAGAGAGAGGGAGAGAGAGAGAGAGAGAGAGAGAGACAGATCAACCACAGGTGTCATTTCTCAGGTACATTCTACCTTGTTTTTAGAGCTCGATTTTAGAGTAGGCTAGGCTGGCTGGCTATTGAACTGAAGAAATCCACGTGTCTCCATCCATCTCCCCAGTACTGAGACTGCAAGTATGCACCACTATTCCTAACTTTTTACATAAACAAACTGGGATCAAACTGGGTCTTGTTTGCCTATCCAAGCATTTTACCAAGAGAACTCCCCACCTTCTGTCATCTGTTTCCTTAATAATGGCCATTCCACTTTCGGTGAGAGGGAATCTCAGAGTACGTTTAATTTTCATTTCCCTGATAGCTAAGGACATTGAACATTTTTCATACATTTATTAGCTATTTATATCTATTCTTCTGAGAACTCTTATTTCATTCATTTACCTACTTGTTCATTGAATGTTGTGCTAATTAATTGGGGAGGATTATTATAGATTCTAAATATTAATCTCCTGTCAGATATATTGCTGGTATATATTTTCTTCCATTTTGTAGGCTGTCTTTTCACTCTGCAGATTGTTTTCGTTAATGTTTAGAAACTTCTTAATTTTGCATTCAATCCCGTTTGTCAGTTCTTGAGATTATATCCTGTGTTCTTGGGATCCTTCCTGAAAGTCCTTGCCTAATCCTCTGTTTCAAAGTATCTTGCCTATATTTTCCTCTAGTAATTTCAGAATTTCAGATTTTACATCATATCTCTGATCCATTTTGAATTATTTTTTTTGCCTTGAACTCTCCTGCCTCTGCCTCCCAAGTGCTGTGATTAAAGGCATAAAAAAAAATGAATTTTTGAGAGATACAGATCAAGTTTCATTATTCTACAAATGAATAGTCAGTTTTGTCAAAAATTAGGTGGCTGTAGCTGTGTGAGTTTATTTCTGGGTTTTCTATTCCATTGTACTGAATGTCTGTTTTTATGCAAGTACCATACAATTTTCATTGCTATGACTTGTAGCCTTGAGATCTGGTATGTGATGTCTCCAACAGTGCTCTTTCTGCTTAAGATTGCTTTGGTATTTAAGATCTTTGTACTTTCATTTAAATTTTTAAGATTCTTTTTTCTAAATCTGTAAAGAATATCATTTGAATTTTGATAGAGGTTGTGTTGAATCTCTAGATCACTTTCAGTAATAAAGTCAAATTACTTCTGAAAGTTTCCACATTCTGCTGTCTTCAATCTCTTCAGTATTGTTCTAGTTACCGTTTTTTTTTGTTTTGTTTTGTTTTTTTCTGTAAGAGGAAAGGGTTTATTTCATGTTACACTTCCAGTTAATATTCTTTCACTGAGGGGAGTCAGGGAAGGAATTCAAGGCAGGAACCTGGAGACAAGAACTGAAACAGAGACCATAGAAACTTACTGATGTGCTCCCAGGTTCATGGTTCTGCTTCCTTTTTTACATAGCCCTGGCCCATCTGCCTCAGGATGGTATCACCCACATTGGACTAGGCTCTGTTGTATCAATTAGCAATCAAGAAAATGCCCCACAGAGGTGCCCACAGGTCAGTTTGTTCTGGAAATTCCTCAATTGAGATTACATCTCTTCCCAAGTATGTCAAGTGAACAACCAAGATTAGCCATCACAAGTAACTTTTAAAAATGTTTTATTTATTTATTTTATGTGTATGAGTGTATTGCCTGTCTATATGTGAGTGCATCCATGTCATGCAGTGCCTGTGAAGGTCAGAAGAGGGTGTTGGATCCCCTCAAACTGGAGTTATGGACAGTTGTTAGCCACTGTGTAGTTTCTGGGAACTGAACCCCAGTCCTCTGAGCCATCTCTTCAGCCCCCAAAAACAAATATCTTAAAGTTGTCATGTAAAGGTCTTTCTCCTTAGTGGATGTGGTGGCGCATGCCTTTAATCCCAGCACTGGAGGCAGAAGCAGGCTGATCTCTGTGAGATCGAAGCCAGCCTGGCCTATATAGTGAGTTTCAGGCTAGCTGGGACTGAAGGGAGACCCTGTCTTTAAAAAAAAAAAAAAAGTCTCCTTGATTAGGAGTTGCTGTTTTGTTGTTTTTTGTTTTTCCTTATTTCTTTCTCAACAATTTCATTATTGGTGTATAGAAAAGCTACTGAGTTTTGTATGTTGTTTTTGTATCCTACTGCTTTGCTGAAATGTTATGTGTAAGAATTTTCTGGTGAATTATTTAAGGTCTTAAAGTATAGGATCATGTCTGCAAATATGGATAGTTTGACTTCTTGGAGGATTTTTTGTTTGGTTAGATTTTTTGTTGTTACTTTTGCTGTTGTTGGGAGACATTTCTTGTTTTGGGAGGTACTGGGGAGGCATTTGAGATAGGGTCATGTATAGCGTAAGTTGACTTCTAGCTCCCTGAGTAGTTGAGGATGGCCTTGAAGTCCTGATCCTTTTGCCTCCACGTCTCAAATGTTGAGATTATAGCATTTGTCAACATACCCAACTGGTTTCTTTCTTTCCTATTCATATCCATTCTACTTCTTCCTTTCATTGATCTAAAACTGTATTAAGGGGACCTGTCTCTCTATCCTCCTTTAGAGGAAGTGTGCTCTCTCCCCACTTAATAGAATGTTGGCTATAAGTTTGTTGCATAGAACCTTTATTATATATTCCTTCTATCCCTACCTTCTTCAGGGCTTATATCACAAGGAGATGTTGAGATAGGATTCATGTAGCCAAGACTGGCCTCGAACCTCTCATCCTTCTGTCTCTACCTCCCAAGTACGGGATTACAGGTGTATATTGCCATGCCCAGCACTCTTAATGTGTTCTTGAATTTGATTTCTGAATACATTATTGAAAATTTTTACATCTGCATTCATCTGGGAAATTGGTCTATACTTTTCTTTTTCTTTTATGATTTTTCCCAGTTTGGGTATCAAGGTAATGCTGGGTTTATAAAATAGAATAGAATGAGTTTCATGGTTTTCTTTCTCTCTCTTTTTTTTTTCCCCCCTTTCAGGCAGGGTCTCACTGTATAGCTGGCTGACCTGTCACTTGACACTTACTATGTTGATCAAGCTGGCCTTGAACTCACAGAGCTGTGCTTCCCAAGTGCTGGATTTAAAGGCAAGATCCAGCACCATACCAGGCCTTCCTTTCTATTCTGTGAAACAGTTTGATGAGTCTTGGTGTTAGCTCTTCCTAAAAAGTTTGATAGAATTCTGCAGTGTCTCTCCGGTCCTGGTCCTTTAGTCGTCGTCGTCGTCGTCGTCGTCGTCGTCGTAGTGCTTCAGTCTCATTGCTTATGGATCTATTGAAGTTATCTGTATCTTACTTTAATATTGATGGGTCACATATGTTAAAGGTTTATCCATTTCTTCTACGTTTTCCAGTTTTCTAGGATATAAGATCTCAAAATGTTCCCTAATCAGTCTCTGGATTTTATTGGAATTTGTTGAGACCTTTTCTTTGTCATATCAAATTTTATTAATTTGGGTCTTTTCTCTCATTGGTTAGTTTGTCTTGGGGTTTGTCAGTCTTGCTTATCTTTTCAAAGAACCAACTTGTTTAATTAATCATATTCTTTGTTTTGCTTTTTGGGGCGTCTTTTTGAGGCAGGGTCTCCCTGTATCCCCAGCTGGCCTGGAATTTACTATGTAGACCAGGCTGGCCTTGAACTCACAGAGATCTGCCTGCCTCTGCCTCCTGGGATTAAACACATGCCCAGTTCGATTAGTCGTATTCTTTTAATCTCCATTTTGTTAACTTCTGCTCTTATTGTTTTTATTTCTTATTGCCTACTGCTTTGGGGTATGACTTATTCTTTTAAGACCATGAGATATATTATTCACTTATTTGAGATCACTGATTTTTTTTTTCTTGTAAGTACTCATAGCTATCAACTTTCCTCTTAGAACTAACTGCCTTAGTTGTATACCAGAGCTTCTGGTATGTTCTGCTGTTAGCCTTCATTCTCATTTGATTCAAGAAATTTTTTTTTTTTTAGTTTCTCCATGATTCCTTCAATCACCTACTAGTCGTTCAGGGGCGTATTGTTTCGTCTCCATGTATTTGTGAAGTTTCTTCAGTTTCTCATTTCTGTTGATTTCTAGTTTTATTCCACTATGATCTTATAAGATACAAGAAAATTTTTTATTATTATTATTTTGAGTTTATGTGTATGCATGTATTGCCTGCATGTATGTAAGTGCACCCATGTTGTGCAGTGCCCATGGAGGTCAGAAGAGGGCATCAGATCCCCTGGAACTCAAGTTACAGACAGTTATTAGTGGCCATGTGGGTGCTGGGATTCAAAACCAGGTCTTCTGCAAGAACATTTAGTGTTCTTAACTGCTGAGCCATCTCTCTAGCCCCACAAGACATTGTTTTAATTCACTTTTTTTGTGGCTTTTTGAGATAGTGTCTCATGGTCCAGGCTCACCTCAGATTTGCTGCATAGCTCAGAATGATCTTGAACTCTGCTTCTCTTAACTTCTACCTTCCAGGTGCTTGATTTGCTGGGGTGTACCACCACACCCTTGATTCTTTTCTATTTGGGAAGGTGATTTGTGTCCTAGAACGTGGTCTATTAATTTTTAGTTTGGATGAGAGTAGGGTACTAAAGTCATCACTATTATTGTATCAGGGCCTATGTGACCTTTTGTGCCCATTGTTGTTTATTTTATGAAATTGGGAGCTACAACATTTGGTGCACATATTTCAATTATCATATCTTCTTTATTAATTTTTCCTTTATTATGTAATGGGCTTCTTTTCTGACTAATTTTGGCTTGAAGTGTACCTTTTCAGGTATGAGCTTATCTAAATCAGCTTTTTTTTTGGCTTCTATTCATTTGATAGACTGACTTCCAATCCTTTGATTCTCAATCTGTGGATGCCTTTGCACCCAGTTTGAGGTGTTTTTCTTGCAGACAACAGAGAGTTGAATCTTATTTTTCAGTATAGTCTGCATCTCTTTATTGATGAGTTGAAGCCATTTACATTTAAGGTTTTTACTGAGGGAAGCTTGCTAATTTCTATAATTTTTTTGGTTGCTTTTTCTGGTTGGTTGAATTATTTTTTGGTCATTGCTTTCTCCTCTAATTAGTATTAGAGGTTTGCTAGTTTACTGTTTTGGCATGGATTCCTTCCTACTTCTATTCCTCTCATGAAATGTATTATTTCTTATGCTGCCATGATTAAGATGTCCTTACTCCTCTGTGTATAGTATTCCCTTAAGTATCTTCTTCATTGCTAGCTTGAAGGTCATGAAGTTGTACTTGTCTTGAAATGTCCTTATTTTTTGTCAAATTGAAGATAGCTTTGCTATATACAGCAGTTGTGGTTAGTACTTATTTACTTTCAGGGCTAAAAAAATATAGACTATTCCATTATTTTCTGGCTTTTAGAGTTGCTGATACACAAGCTGATGATATTCTGATGTTGTTGCCTTTGTAGGTGAGTTGGTTGCCATTTCCTCTTTCAGCTTTTACTAATGTTACTTTGCTTTGTATTTGACTATAATATGTTACAGAGCATTTCTTTTTGGTCCTGTCTATTTGAGGTTCTGACTTCCTCTAATGGGCTAGTGGGATGGCACAGTGGATAACACTTTTTAATCAAAAGGATCTGAGTTCAGATCCCAGAACCAATGTAAAAGCCAGATATGTGAGCACATATCTGTAACCCCAACACTGGGGAGGACAGGAAGGTAGAGACAAATCAATCTCAAAGCCTCAATGGCCAGCCCATCTAGCAAAATAGCAAGCTTCAGGCTCAGTGAGAGACCCTGTCTCAAAATATAAGTTAGATGGTTGGTCAGATGGCTTACTCGGTAAGGGCCCTTACAACCAAACTTGATGACCTGAGTTTGATCTCCAGAACCCACATGGTTGAAAGGAAGGAACCAATTCCAAGTTGGCCCCTGACCTCCACACATTCACTGTGGCATTCATGCACCCATGTGTGCACACATACACATGTACTTATTCACATGCAACATACACACACACACAAAAAAAAATGTTGGTTTTTTTTTTTTTTTAAAGTAAGGTAGAGAGCAACAGAGGAAGACACCGGATACCCACCTCTCACTTCCACATGTGCCTGCACAAGTGAACATACCTGTACACACATGACAAATACACAAATCAATCAATCAATTAAAAGAAAGTGCCTCTTGTGTTTAGATGTCCAGTTCTTTTTCTAGACTTGTGAAATTTTCTGGTATAATTTAATTGACTAGATTTTCTATGCTTTGGTTTTTATATCAGCTTCTTCTTTTATCCCAGGGATTCTACAGCTTGGCTTATTTCTTTTCAGTGCATCACCTGTCTTTTTAAAAATTATTATTATTATTATTATTATTATTGTTATGATTATTTATGTGTATGAATGTATTGCCTGCATGTATGTAAGTGCACCCACATCATGCAGTGTGGGGCGTCGGATTCCCTGGAACTGATGTTATTATGTATGGTTATTAGCTGCTGTATGGGTGCTGGGATTTGAACCTGGATCTTCTGCAAGAACCGCCAGTGTTCTTAAACACTGAGCCATCTCTGCAGTCCCTTACCTGTCTTTTTAAGCTCTCCTCTCTTTCTTTTTTTAAAAAAATTTTTATTTTATTTTATGTGTATGAGTGTTTTGCCTGCATGTATGTAAGTGCACCTGCATTGTTCAATGCCTGCAGAGGCCGTGTCAGATCCCCTGGAACTGGAGTTATGAATGGTTGTTAGCCGCCATGTGAGTTCTCGGAATCAAACCCAGGTCCTCTGTAAAAGCATTCAATGCTCTTAACTACTGAGTCATCTCTCCAGCCCCTCTCCTCTCTTTCTTACTTTGATTCTTCTCTATCAGATCACACTGAGGCAGCTTCTAGTCTGCCATCCTGCCCAATAGTCACTTCTTAGATTGTTTTGTTTGTTTAGTCTTTTGTGTTTTGAAACAGGCTAGTCTGGACCTTGATATGTAGCCAGGGATAATCTTGAACTCTCATTTTGTTTTAATCTTACTTTCTGTGGTATATGTATGTGCGTGTGTATGTGTTCACACTTGTGGCATGATGCATGTGTGCATGTGTGTAGCTAGAGGATAAGCTATGGAAATCAATTGTTTCTCTCACCGTGTAGGTCCCAGAGATTGAACTCAGGCTTAGCAACAAGTACCTTTACCTCCTGAGCCATTCTCCTGGCCCATGATTTTGTTTTTCAGAGCATAATAGCAGTAGCATACAAAGGAAAAATATTTATTCTGTATGTTGAGATTATGGTATTTTTAAAAAAAAACTTTTCATTCTTGCCATTATTTATATCAGAAGCGGTTGTTGGAAGCCATGGAGACATGTAACCATTCCCTCAAAAAAGAAGAAAGGAAAAGAAACCAACATAGTGAGTGTCTAATGTGCTGGTATGATAGAGACACAGAGTTCACCTACTCCTCTCCTTGGCCAGAAAAGTTCCCTGCCATAGAACGATGTCATGCAAGGTAATGTTATTTGGTCATTTTTCCAACAATAAAAGAAACCTGGGGAAGGAGAGGGAGAGGCGGAGAATTCAAATATCTAATCAGGAGAATGAGCAAATATTTTATGACAGAGTTAATTGACAACCAATGAGCCTGGTATAGAAGTTCAAGACTATAGACCTAGGTACATAGGAGGCCAAAGTGGGAGAATCTCAGTTGAGACCAGGAGTTCAAGACCAGCCTGGGCAACACAGCAAGTCCCAGTCTTAAAACAAAATTGATAATTAATGGATGACCCCCAACTTGCCAGGGATTGAAGCATTTCTCAAACTTGATCGTTTAATGCTCCACTCTGATCAGACTCTAATTCTCTTCTGCTAAAGTTCTGAGGTTTTGTATTTTTTTTCCCTTCTAGTATATCTCTGAGCTTTATCTCTGCCTCATTTCTGTTGTGAGTTTTTGTTTTCATTGTCCGTTTCTCTACTCCCAGCATTACTTGGTAGGCTGTCAGCCCTTATACCTGTCAACCTCAGCTAGAGATAAGAAAAAATAAAGAGTCTCTCTTTTCCTACCTCAAATCCATTTTTTTCATTCTGTCCTCATTAAAATGTCATCCATGTCTTGTCCCTTTTCTCATCTTCCCTGAAAATAATCTACACAGATAGCAACTGAGTTAACAGTTTTCAGTTGTGATTTCCTTTTGTAAAAATGAGAAGAAAATTGAAATAGACTATGAAATTTAATTTTTTCATCTTGAGATTTAAAACATGAATTATGTTATGCTTTATGCATATGTGGGTATGTGTGTGTTCGTGTGTGTGTGTGTGTGTGTGTATGTGTAGGCCAGAGATCAATGTTGGATATCATTCTTGACCCTAATTTTTTTTTTTGAGACAAGGTCTCCCTGTAGCCCCAGCTGGCCTGGAACTCCCTATATAGGCCAGGCTGCCCTCAATCTCAGAGATCCGCTTACTCCTGCTTCCCAAGTGTTGAGATTAAAGATGTACACCACCATGCCCAGTCCACCTTACTTTTCGAGACAGGGTCTCTCTGAACCTAGACTCCACCCGTTTGGCTAGACTGGCTGTCAAAGCAAGCCCCAGAGATCCTCTTATCTCTACCTCCCCACCCTAGAATTACAGGTACACGCTTGACTTTATGTGGGTTCTGGGGCTCCATCTCAGGTCTCCATGCTTGGGTGGTAAGCACTTTACTTCATGAACCATCTTCTTGGCCCACATTATTAAGTATTATTGTAACTTAATCTATAGGCGTAATTGTATCTTAGACGAGAATCTGGATTACTCTGTTTTGTCTCGTTTGTTTTAGGTTTTTTTGTTGCTTTTTTTAAACTTTTCTGCATTTATTCCTCTGTGTGTGTGTGTGTGTGTGTGTGTGTGTGTGTGTGTGTTCATGTGCTACAGTGTATAGAGATCAGAGAACAATTTGCAGACACTGGTTCTCTTTTATCACCATGTGGTTCCTGGGAACTGAGCTCATAATCAGGCTTGGCAGCAAGCGCCTTTACCCACCACATTGACCGCTGATGGGTTTTTTGAGCCAAGATTTCATTCCATAGTCAAGAATGGCTTTGAACTCACAGGAATCCTCCTACTTAGCTTCCCTAGTTTTGAGATTACACGCATGAACTACTGTGCCTCACTTTTCTTTAAGTAATAAATCTCTTCTACCTTTTAAAAAATTTATTTTATTTTTTTTGAGATAGAGTTTCATTCTCCTCCTCAGACTGGCTGGGAACTTACTATGTAACTCAGGCTGGCCTTGAACCTGTATCCATATGCATTTGCTTCTACTGGAATTATAGAAAAGTACCACCATGCATAACTTTCTTTCAAAGCAATAACGATTTTTATGAAACAGTTAAAGTTAAAAGCTTTAATTGCCTGTAATACTTGCATTTTAAATTAAATACTTTGGTTTATTTTCTAGGTATGAAATAATATCATTAGATGCTTGGCGCGTAGACATAAACAAGAACAAAATAACCAGGGTTGACCAGAAGGCATTATATTTCTGTGGATTCCCTACTTTGAAACACATCAAACATAAAGTCAGTGGCTACTTAATTCAGATTTTTTTCACCTTATTAAAAGTAAAATGATTACTGAGAAAGAATTAAAATTGAATTCTTTGAATTCTTTTCAAGTTTTTTTTGAAGAAAAGTGGTGTTCAAGTATTCCAGCAAAGCAGTCGTGGAGAAAACATGATGTTGGAAATCTCAGTGATTGCAGAATCAGATGAACTTGTAAGTACTTTGTTTACTATTCACTTATAGGATATTTATAATACATAAAACTGTTTGTACCTGCATAGGTATTTACCAAAGAGATATACAATACTATAACCCCAATTCAATTTTTAATAAGGATAAAGCAAAGGAACACACAAATTAGAGGCAATTTAAGACCCTTTGTATCGGGCTGGAGAGATGGCTCAGCGGCTGAGAGCACTGACTGCTCTTGCAGAGGACCTGGGTTCGATTCCCAGTACCCACATGGCAGCTATGAACTGTCCTTAACTCTAGTTCTATGGGAATCCGAAAACCTCTTCTGACCTCCGTGGCATTGCAAGACATGGGTGTACTCACATACATGCAGGCAATACATTCATACACATAAAATAAAAATAATAAATAAATTTTTTAATTAAAAAAAAAAAACAGAACCTTTATATCTAGCCCAGTGTCCAAAAGTTTGAAGAGGAGATTAACTGTGCGGCAAAACTTAAGTGCACACTTAAGATGAGCATTGGCTTGAGCTACCTGCTGAAACTGTGAGAGCTCTGAGCTAATAAACTGGAAAATAATTGTAGTTTACTGGACTAGAAAAGTTGAGATAGGAGTGTTGTTGGTATAAGGGAATTGATGATAAATAACGAAGTCTTAAGGTAGTTACTAAGATACTTAACTAGAACTACCTTGATAGCCTTTTTTTAACCAGTGTTCCACAAAGATATAAACCCCAATACCTTAAGTTCTTCATTGTATATAACCACTTATATTAAAAATCTTTTGTGCATTTAGAATGATGCTAGTTATATGCTATTCTTGGAAGAATTGAGAAAATAGTCTAGTCATTTATTTGTGTGCTATGGTTCAGATGAAAAAACTCAGTTTAAAAGGCTACAAATGCACAGTTAAATTCCTGAAGCTAGAGGTTGGAGAAAGAGAGGGTTAGTATGTTATCAGCACAGAACTGTTGGCTGAGGCCTTGAAACTTACTTCTGTGAAGAAAGGCATACTGAATGTTCATGATTCAACATTAAGAAATACCTGAATTGTGAAGACTTCAAAAGAAGCTAGTAAAAGTGGCATAGTGGACACACAAGAAAGAACGATTTGCAGTTAAGTAGTATCGCAGGCATAGATGCGATATGTCACATAGCTTTGAAGGAAAACGAAAACTGAAACGATGTCTGAATTTATCTTTTAGACCATTAATAATGGCCTTTGAGAAATTCATTTCAGTACATCGGTGAAGGCAGAAGTTCAATTCCTAAAGACCAGGAAATAGGAACACTAGGTGACTAGGGCTGGAAAAATGGCTCAGGAGTTAAGGACGCTTAACTGTTCTTGAATAGGACTAGAATTTACTTTCCAGCACCCGTGTGAGGCAGCTCACAACTGCCTGTAACTCCAGCTGCAGGGACTCCAATGCCTTCCCCTCATCTCCACAGGCACCCCCACACACAGGTGCACATACACATGCACATATACAGACACATAAAATAAAAAACAAAGGCTGTCAAATATCTCTAATCCCAGTACTCAGGAGAAAGACACAGGCTGATTTCTCTGAGTTCAAGGAGAGCTTATTCTACATAGTGAGTTTCAGGCCAGCCAAGGCTATATGGTGAGACCCTGTCTAAAAAAAAGCCAAAATAAATTCATTAATAATTAAAAATTTTAAAACCAAATTTTTAAAAAGAAAATTGTCATTGAACAGAAAGCTAAAAGCATACCTAGACAAGAAGACAAACCTCATCAAGAAAAATTCATACAAAGGGCAGGAGAGTTGGCTCAGTGGTTAAGAGCACTGGCTGCTCTTACGGAGGACCCAGGTTCTGTTCCCAGCACCCACATGGCAGCTGTCAACAGTCTGTGACTACAGTTCCAGGAAACCCAATGCCATCTTCTGACCTCCAAGGTCATTGTACGACATGTATGCACTTACATGCATGCAGACAATACACTCATACACATAAAATAAAATTAATAAATAAAAAAAATTTAATACTAGAAGAATAAAGATTTTTATTAAACATTGTAAGTTGCATTCAATATCCTCCGGATACACCACACCACAATCCATCGACAACAAAAAATTTTTTAAATGAAAAATTCGTACAAAGGAGGTAGGTAGACCTACTAGAGAAAGAAAATCTTAAAGCCGTTGTTATGGGAAAGGATGTTTATAATGACAAAACTTCATATGAAATAATAATAGATTTCATCTAGAGCTTAAAAGAAAGGATTAATCTGGGAAAGGAAGGTACTTTTCTTAAGAACTAAGTGAAAATGGGAGAATGAAATGAAAACAATACTATGCAGAAAAGAAAGAATAATTGAGGGAACCTAGTTCTCATATTGGAACTTGTCGTTTGTCAGAATAGTTTTTCTATAGTTTTGTATGGTCAATTTAAGAAATGTCTATTGGCCAGGCGTGGTGGTGCACGCCTTTGATCCCAGCACTCCAGAGGCAGAAGCAGGCAGATCTCTGTGAGTTCAAAGCCAGCCTGATCTACACAGTGAGTTCCAGGCCAGCTGGGGCTACAGGGAGACCATGTCTCAAAAAGACCAAAAAAAAAAAAAGTCTATCAAAGAATCCCCTTTGCCTACAAAAAAGCCTAAAAATAGTCATCTCTATATGTTTTGATGGCTGGAGACATGGGTCAGTGGTTAAGAGCACTGACTGCTCTTCCAGAGGTCCCTGGTTTGTTTCCCAGCACCCATGTGGTGACTAATAACCCTTCTTAATTCCAGTTCCAGAGGATCCAACACCCTCTTCTGACTTCTGCCACCATTGCATGCACAGGAACACTTAACATAGATGCAGGCAAAGCACTCATATACATGAAAGTAAAAATAGATAATTTTTTTTTAAATATTTGTTTTTATTTTCTTGAGGTAGGATCTTTTATATCCCAAATTGAAGGATGATCTTTAACTCCTGATCCTTCTGCCTCTATCGCCTAAGGGATAAGATGACAGGCATACATTAGCATACCCTTGTTTATGCAGTGCTGGGGATGAAACTCAAGACTTCATGAATACTAGGTAAGCACTCTACCAACTAAACTGAGAATGTAGCTCCATGGGTAGAGTACCTGCCTAGTTTGCATGAGGCCCTGGGTTTGATTCCCCAGGACCACCATAACTGTGCATGGTGAAAGCAGGAAGATCAGGAAGTTCAAGGTAATCCTCGGTTACATAGCAAGTTCCATGCCAGTCTAAGTAAGCTACAGACGATCTTGTCTCAAACAAACAGCAAACAAAAAAAGATTAAATGTAATAAAATGAATAAAAATTTATTGTCACACA